GTGGGGGCTAGTGACACTAAATAAGTGTCACTGAAAGTGTCACTAAATTATGACACCGTAGTATCACCAAATCATGACACTATGGTATCGCAAAGTGTTATGACACCATAGTATCACAAAGTTTTGTGACACTCTAGTATCATGAAAACATACACATAATAGGAGCTGGAGTTTGATCTTGTAAATCAACACAGTCAGTGGTAATCGCTGCCGTATAAATATGTGAAACCTGGCTTCATAAACAACAGTCTGAAAAAAACAGGTATCACCATTTCCAATCCATATTTTGGGAGGCAAATCCTTAGCAACATCAATTTCAATCAAAATTCTAGCTGTGCTTGGTCTGGAAAAATTAGCAGTAGGAGCGTCAATTTTGAGAGGTTTGCCCAATAAACTAGCAATAGAGAATAAAGCTCTAGCATCATAAATATGGATCGGTAGCCCATCTAGGGCCACCCAAACGGGACACAAGGGGCAACCGAAATCATCAGAATAGGATGGTGTACACCTGGTGACTTTAATCGGAGATCCGAAGAAGTCCCAAGTGTTTTTCAACCAAAACCTTTGAAAATCAGAGTCTGAGATGAAATTTACCAGAATTCGGTGCGAGTGAAGAAGCCCGACAAAGTATGACTCGAAAAAACCAATCGCTTCCATAGCTTTCCGTATAGCAGAGAAGGGTGGTCGTTTGAGTGGGAAGGTCTGAACTAGGGCGAATGGAGAAGAATGACTTACATAGGTGTTCAGTTGACGGAGGAGAATTAAGCCACGAGTCGTCCGCTCAAGTGTCCAAATCACGAAGCTATGTCCGTCCGTCGAAGCTGTGTCCACAGAGCCGGCCAACTCCCTAAAGAACAAGAATCGATCGAGAGAGGAGTAAATCGATCGATCTCTGAGGTCGTAGCTAGGGTTCGTTCCCTCTCAAGGAGAAGAATCGATCGATCTGAGGTCTTCCGCTAGCTAGGGTTCGTATGTGCTCTGAGGAAAAAACGTAAGTGTACGCGTTAGCTTAGGAAAAAACGTAAGTAATTAGAAGACGGGCTCATGAACGGCCCATTTAGGGGAATACGTGCGTATACTTAGCTTCACTTCTGAAAAAAGTGTCACTATTTTACGGTGATATTTTTGTGTTACATATTAGTGACACTTCTGTATCAATAGTGGTATCTGACATAAAAGTGTCACTATAAAAGTGTCACTGTAAGCCTGTTTTTTAGTAGTGATTACTTTCTTGTATGGTGCTTAACACATGATGCATGGTGTTTGGTGATTAGTCTGGCTTTTGGTTTACTTGTTGTACACATTTGAGTTTTTAACTCGTACTCTGATTTTTTTGGGTTGGAGACATATTTGCCCTTCAATCTATTTTTGTCTTTGATATTTTACTTAAAAACTATAATCCATATTATTATATTCCTTCCGTTATGTTTTCCATAATTCTTTCATCAAATATGAAACTTTGAGGATTACAGTCGAGAATCCTGAAAGCTAAAGTCTTTTATATCCTCTCTATGAAAACAACAACATGCCAGATTCATAGAGGCAAATACTAATATCTTGGAACTTTAAAGGCAAAATTGTTTAGAGCGGATAGAATGATAAATATTTTTGTTTGTCTATGCTTAGACGTATGTACGTAATATTAGGCTGAAAACCGATTTGCTAATCACACATTCCCCTATTTATACACAGGCGTCTGATACGGATCCTATAAAAATGAACAAAGATGCGTTAAATGTAACATTGGGAAGTTGAACATCTACTCTTGCCTACAAAACGACCAATCAGACTCATTCTTGAAATGGGAACCGTCATGCAGCTTATGTTGGGATTATTTAACAACAATTGTAATTGCCGATGTATATTTTTATAAAATCTCAATTTGAAAATTAATTAAAGGCTACTGTTGTGAAGCTGACATCATGAATCTAGAAATTTCTTACTTTGGCCGGGAACTTCTTGTGCAAGTTTTCTTTTGCTATTATATTATAATAGATTGTTTATGATTGTAATTTCTAGAGAAAAGGGTCAGATATGACCTCGAACTTACAAAAAAATGTCAAATAAGGCCTTATATAGGAGGTTCTGTCCGGCGACGTCATTTTGGGTTGTTCCCGGTAGAGGTTTTCGATGAACTTTTGTGATCATGTTAGTCCTTAAGTCTAGTTTACTCATACCAAATTTCAGCTAAAAACTCAAACGAGAAGGCATTAAAATAAATTCTTGAAAATAACTGCGCTTTTAACTGCAGTCCATTAAAATAAATTCTTGAGAAAACTCTAGTCCATTTTTCATACCCAACTGAGTATAAATATAGCATTATCCCCTCATCTAGTTTCTTCAGTTCCTCAATGTGCCAATCAAAGTCCTCTCTGGTGTATGCTTGTGGAGCTTCAAAATCTGTCTTTCATTTTTTTTGTTTTTCAATTGAACTTTGTCTTGAGGTTGTTGAACAGATGGTATATGCATACCCCATGCCCAGATTTCGGATACACTTATACAACACCTTTTACAATACTCTCATGTCTATCATAAACAATCACCATTCCACTTCTATAACCCAAAGCTTATCTAATATTCTTGAAAACCCGTTTCCATGATTCATCATTTTCAGAGCCAACAACAGAAAATGAAATAGGAATTATTTTACCACAAACATCTTGTGTTGATGCTGTTAACAGTGTTCCGACATACCTCCGAGCGAGAAATGTCCCATCAACTACAGTAACTGGTCTGCAAAATTCCTAGCCCTTAATTGATGCATCAATAACAATGAAGACATACAAGAATGTGTTGTCTTCATTAACTTAAAGTTCGAGAAACGATCCAGGATTCGTTTGTTTCACAATACTCAAGAACTGTGACAAATGCATATGATTCTTCTGGTTTTCTTCTGAGCTTATTCAGCGCCTTTTCTTTTTCTCTCCATGCTTTTAAGAAACTGATTTCAACACCATACTCCTTTAACATATCTCTCTTTGCATCGGTTTCAATATATTGCGCTTTGGATCCAATAACTTAGACTAAATGCATTCTGCTACCAAACTTGATGCTGCATGCCTTTGATATGCTAATCTTACTTCCAATCTGCAAGAATGTGTTTTTTCAAACTTGACAACAGTAAACCTTCCTAGTGTTCCAATTTATCTTGCTTTGATCTCCCAATTGCACTTTCCATCCAAGCATTTTGCTTCAAAAAACTCCTTATTTGACTTATATGTCACATACTGGAAGTGACTTTTTATATCATACAACTTCAGTGCTTTTTTTTAACTCAGCACGGTTGTTGTTCATCAATCCTTCTTCAGGTTCTACATCACTGTTGTTGCACTTTGTTGGTAATGACTCCACGAACTTTTATTGTACGTCATACTGCATTAGTTATTGTATTTTCTCATTCTAATATAAGAGCATTAATGTCCATCTGTTCACTAATCGTTGAGTTTTCTTCAGACAAGGTGTCTACTTGCATCCCATGTGTTGTTTCTTCTTGTTGATATCCAACAAGAAACATGTTGCAATTTGTTGCTTCTTGTATATTAGCAATGGTGATGCATAGAGGGAATTTTATCACATCTGTATCGTGTTTCTTCATATGTAAATAAAACAACAGAGTTGAGTTATCTTGCATCATCAATGGTTGATAATTCTCTCAGACTTTGTATTGAATTATCAGTGAGGTTGGTGTTGTTTCTATTCCAATCCTATCTGTTACCTTTTCAGTTAACTCAGGAAAAGAGTTGTTTCTAAAGTAATTCCAAAAACACTGAAGTTAACATATTCCATTGCTTCATTCCAATCACCACCGCACTGAATAAAAACAGGTGTTGTTTTCATGTTTCCTGTTATTCACAACAAATATCATTCTATATTTAATTAAGAATACATGTACATTGTAGTGCGATCTTCAGAAACAAAAACTTATTGAGTATTAATGATCAACGAGAATAAAAATAGAACATATCACACATCATCGATTGATCAACAAGCGCAACAAAATATCCTAAATTCAAGCATATTGGAACACTAAACAAAGTATGGAAATTCTAATAATTTGACATCGATGTTTGATCAAAACGATGCTTGATTCTCTGTAGACTCTTCATAGCTGATCAAAATTGAGTTCTATGGAACCATTCTTCGTTTGGAAGATTGCGATCGATGTCTTCATGTAAGTGTTAGCTGCAATTAAGTTTGATTGAACTTTTCGCAATCGAAAACTACTTCGCAAACAATTTCCGCGCGCTGAAGAGGATAGCCATCTTCGCACGATATCGAGCTCTGGGTTTCTAATTTTGTCGGTTATACATGGTATACTTTTGTGGAAAGAAACCTTACGTAGCTTATTTTTGAGAACAGATTGTAACGTTGATAAAAGTGATATGATTTTCCTTATTTGGCTTGTTTGTGAAAGTGAGTAAACGAACATGTCTATGGCATTTAATCAAAACCATGTAAACGCGATGAATTGAATAATCAAAACCATTTGTATTGTATTGTATTGCATGACCCGCCTCTTTACCTCTTCTCCGTAGGCAGCTATGATCGAAGGCGCCTCCGCCCCGTCAAACTAAATCCCATGGACAGAAGTGGAGGAGGTCCGGTGCTGAGTACGGAAGCAGAGCTGGGAGAGACCGGGTTATTCATAATTGAGTGATCCAAAATAGTTCTTCATACTCTTCCCTGTAAAAAGCACGTAGCCCATTAGTTACTATAGGCTATAGCCTATATATATCCTTATCTGCGTTCAAATTCTCAATCTGACGAAAGAGTTGGGGCTAGAAATATGTGGTTCATGAAGTTTTCATTCCAACGCGGTACGATGTATGGCATTCAAAAGGACGACGGTACGATGGAAATGAAGGAGCTAGGTCCAGTCCTGTGCACGAAAGCAGAGCTGGGAGAGGCCGGGTTCATAAATCACGTACAATTGAGTGAGAGATAGTAATATATATTTGAGTGATCGAAAACAGTTCTAGCTTCATACTATAAAATGTACCATTCGCTTCTATAGCCTATAACCATATCTGCGTTCAAAATGAAATGCATCACATTTGTGCTCTCTCTCGCATTTCTACTATGTCTACGCTCATCCGCCACAACCATCACCTTCAACCAAACTCTCACAGACGGCGATTTATTAACCTCCAATGCAAACTCATATGCCCTCGGATTCTTTACTCCCGGAAAGTCTACCGGCAAACGGTACCTCGGCATTTGGTACCAGAACATACCAGAACTAGTGGCTGTCTGGGTCGCTAACAGGGACAACCCGGTCAACGGAACTTCCGGGGTCTTCTTCATCGACGGCACCGGGAATCTTGTCATCCAAGACAGGAACACCAACGCCACCGTCTGGAACACCAGTCTTTCTCTTCCGGCGACGGGGTTAGAAAGAGCATATAATTGCTCTGTTCAGCTCAAGGAAACAGGGAATCTTGTTTTGTACCACGACCCGGATCGACGGGTCGCAGCATGGCAGAGTTTCGACTACCCGACCAATATACTCTTGCCTCACATGAAATTTGGAGTGAACAAGAAAACCGGGTTGAAGCGTTTCCTTACCTCGTGGAAGTCACCGGATGATCCGGGCACCGGTGAGTACTCTCTCAGAGTAGAGCTCACTGATCCGCCTCAGGGGTTCATGTACAAGAATTCAGTCCGGGTTTGGAGGCTCGGGTTATGGATCGGATCCGGGTGCAGCAACATCCCGCGAATGTCAATAAATTTCACCCCATATCATGGCATCATTGACGAAGATGAGGACAGTCTTTCATACACGGTTCCTGATCCGACGGTGTACACAGTATTGATGTTGAATGCAACTGGGACGATGAATCGGATCATATGGATAGGAGATGGGGATGAAGGAGGCCCGAAGATGAAGACATGGGCCGGGCTGTGGTACATTCCCAAAGACAAATGCGACTCATATAACCCATGTGGCGCATTTGGCGTTTGTAATCCATACATTCCGGGCGGGTCGGGCTGTCAATGCCTTTCTGGGTTTGAGTCAAACTCGTCAACTCAAGAATGGGCCTTGAGAGACGATCGACATAGCTGTCGGCGGGAAGCCAACACAGACGCCTGCCCGAACGGTGACGGGTTTCTTAAGCTCACAAATGTTAACATTCCCTACGCCGAAACGACGTTCTCGGACAAGGCGATGGGGTTTAAAGAATGTGAAGAACATTGTGTGAAGAACTGTTCGTGCACTGGATATGCCAGACAAGATACTACTATCAATGGAGGAGATGGATGCCTCAATTTTTATGGGGAGTTAACAGATATGAGAGAGTTTGTTAATGGCGGCAGAGAAGTTTATATAAGAGTCTCTGCATCTTCTTCAGGTTTCTTACCCCTCCCTCCCATTTTACTTAGTCGAACTTGATTTTTCAAATCAATAACGTCTAACTTTGATCGATTATATGATTATATAGAGAAAATATTAATAATATGAAAATGATATGAAAATGTTCTCTGTTAAAAATGTTATCATAAAAGTATAAAATTATTAAATTTTACATAAATATATTAATTTAAAAAGTTAGTCAAAGTTTACCACCTTTGACTTGAAAAGTCAAAGATTCCTAAGTAAATTGGGACGGAGGGAGTAATAAATACGGAGTAATTTCTTAATAAATGTTGAAATATTCCCTTGGATCCCGGCTAAAGCTTAAATGATAAGATTATTTGGACAATAATTAAATAAAGTAATTCAAATATATTTTCAAAGTAATTTTGACAAGTATATCATAATGAAATCATTGATGGTAACCATGATGTTGTTGGTGTATAAGTTTTAATATTTGATGACGGGTGTATTAACTTTTAATATTTTCAAAGTAATTTCTCATTTAAGAATTCTAATATTTCTTAAAATAGAAATGAGAAGTTTTAGTCGGGACATCCAAAAAAGACAATTGAGAAGCTTAAGCTAAAACGAATGGAGCAACATATTCATACCATTTAGGATGTGTTTAATTGCACTAGTTTCAGTCTTAGGCCAACAAGAACATATTAGACTTTGATAGTTGTAAAATACATAATAGTATAAAACGGAATCTAGCAGAGCAGTTCATATCAGATCAAGCTAAACCATACTTTAACATACTCCCTCCGTCCTGAAAAGATTGACCAAATTTCCTTTTTTGGATATCCCAAAAAGATTTGTCATTTCCATTTAAAGTAATGAATCTGTGACGAAAATTAATTCTCTCTCCTCCGCACAAATTTCAACCACACAGTTTTTACTTTATTAATCCACATGAAAGTTAACTTTGACCAATCTTTTCGGGACAGAGGAAGTATCAGACTAGGTCAGAACAATCCGAATAAAACGTAACATAACTAAACTATAAATATTTCTTACAAAATATGACATTGTTAACTTTTATTTTAATGACTTAAACTTAAAAGTAATAAAATTTCAAGGGGCATTGGCTAAATTTTAAGGAGTATAAAATATGCTAGTACTCCCTCCGGTCCCAAAACAAATTCACTCACGGTTTATGATGTTTGACTGACGATAAAGCAACTCGATCCCTGTTCACGCTCGGATTATTTTTAGTAAATAAAATTTACATATTCAGAAACTACATTAAAATCGCTACAAAGTCTAATCAAGAAAATTTAAATTTGATAAAAATTTGATATATAAAGTAAATAATTAAGAATGATTTAAGTTGACCAATGAATAGTGAGTGTGAATTTGTTTTGGACCCGAAGGGAGTATTTGACTTAGCATTTGTGTTGTAACTTTTTACTCCCTATGTGTGTCTACAGCGCTGCCTTTAAAGAAATCTAAGGGGATCCGCCGGAACTGGCTAATATTAAGCACGGGTATATCTTCTGCGGCAGTGATCCTTCTACTCCTTTATATGACATGGAAAATGAGAAAAGGTAATATCATGAATTCATTATTACGGGGAAATCCCAAAAATAGGAGAAAAATATTTCAAATTTCAGAATTAGACTGTCATATTTTATTATTTAAATATAAGTAATTACTTGATCAAAAAATATAATAATTATTGTCATATTTAAAAAAATATTATTGTTTTGTGAATTTGTCATAGCTAAAACAGAGAAATAATGGCAGGCTTATTACTCCCAGCCTTTTCATTACCAAAAATATTACAAGTTTGATCATTACCAAAAATGTGACCTTCGCACAAGCCCACCCCACAGCAAACTTATCTACGCATGAATCTTCTCTGTCATTGCACACTTCCCCCTCCGTCAAAGTAGCCACGCAAGACACGAAGCTCGTCACCCGCCAGGCTTATCTCTCCGCCGACACTACTCTTCAGCCGCCGCCGCTCTCCGGCCGTCGTCGCTCTCCAGACGTCGCCACTCTCCAGCCGCCGCTCTCTTCTTCTTCTCATTTCTTGCTTCAACCGTTACTTGTCTTCCTCGTTGCTTGATTGCCGCACCTCTCTGTCCGATGGTTGTGCCTATGATAGCTTGTCCATCATCCTCAGTGGCGGAACTACGTTGGAGCTTGGAGGGGTTCGTGCCCCTGCTGTTTTTTCCTTTTTCTTCATTATATATGTATTATGTATATATATCAAGTTTGTGGTAATAGGCGGTGAAAGACGAGTCACCAATTTCTCTAGATGTCTTCGCCACCTCAATATCTACGTACATAGCAGTACTATATAACTGTAGGTGTACTTTAGTGGCGTGACTAGTTTTAATTTCAAATTTTACTTGATGATAAGTTAAAACTTCTTGATAATTTAAAACTTGTTTGAAATGATTAAGATTTAAAATTTCATTTATGATCTAATTATAGTTTAAAACTTCTTTGAAATGATTGAGATTTAAGGACCTGGATTTTTTAGTAAGGTTAGATTCTTTATTTTATCATTTTTTTTAAATTTATGATATAAAAAAATCACACTTAGGTAGATAAATTTATTATTAAAAAATCTAAAATTTATATTTTTTTTGTGTTGAAATAATTTTATGTTTTAGAATAATAATATTGCGTATAGAAAAATAAGAGTACGTATGTTTGAGAACGGGTTGGTATATTAGTAGTATACACAATGTTTTAGTCTCTTCGCACTTTCTCTTGCCGCCGCCCAATTTGCCAAAGACTAGAATTTCAGGACCGCATCAATTTGCATGTCTCGCCGGAGACTTTCTCTTTCTAATTATCTGCCCCTCCAAATTTGGCAAGCTGGTTCCGCCACTGATCATCCTAGACGGTCGCCGCTGCAGGATCCGTCGCCTGGATGGACGATGACTGCTATTTAGGGTCACCAATGCCGAATCTGCCGTCCTCAGGGCCCCTGCTGCTGCTGAGGGTGCGGCGAGTGTTCCAGATCTGTTGTGAAGTTCCCGACTGCGATTGTGTAGGGCTGGGGGTGGGATGTAGTGCGGTGGCAGGCCGGAGGTGATTTTCACATCTAGATCTGGAATGGCGACGACGGCTAGGGTTATGTTAGGGCGGTGGTAGGGCTGGGGGGTCTGGTACTTTACTTGATGGGGGCAGTGGTACAAGAACGGCTGGCCATTCGTCGCCGCCGCCATCCAGGGCTGGGAGGTGGTTGTCAAAGCGGAATGGCACACGGATGGGAACAGATCTGGCCTAGGCCTTGGGCTGGGGACATGACTGGATTGGGTTCTGGCTGATGGGGGCTGGGCAGGGGCTAGGTGGTGGTGGTCATTGGGTGACGCTAACGGTGGACAAATCGGAGTTGGGTAGAAGTCACTGGACGGTGTGGGATCAGTGACCAGAGTTGGCGGAAGTCACTGGACAGTGACAGGAGTTAGTGACCGGTGTTGGGCGGTAGTCACTGGACAGTGACCGGACTCGGTGATCGAAGTTGGCCGTCAGTCATTGAGCGGCGACGGTGGTGGTGCAATGGTTGGCGGTCACGACGGTGCTGGGTTGTTGGGGCCGGGGTGGCTAGAGCACATGGACTAATTATTAATTAATTATATAAAAGGAATATTGTAATAATAAATTCAATATTAAATACAATAATAAATGACTGTTAGTCACTTTTTTGGAATATTTTAAACCAGGTCATATTTTTATCTTTTTTATTTCTTTTAGTAATATTGATAAAAAAGGCCTAAAAATACTGTTATTTTGGGTAATTTCCCATTTATTATTGAGGACCGTGACATGATTTCTACAATGAACACTATTTTTTAAAATAAAAGAGCGGCTTTTTATATTAATATAAAAAAATCATACAAAATAACTTCCACACGGTTATGCCAGAGTCGATCATAAATCCTAAGAATAGATATAGAAACAGTCATCTCATACAAAACAATCTAATTTGTTGGACACAATGAATAAATTTAAGCCTAAAAATCAAAACAGATATACTGTCTATCAAAAGTACTCTAGACATCCAAGTATCCAAACCAAACCTACTCGAAGTAAAATAAAAATAGGTATTACTAAAGAAAAAAAAATTAATAATATAAAAACACGAGTATTTAATTAAAGTACCAAACTGTAGGTAGCTTAAATCTATCAAATCTACACACACACATAGGATTACAAGTTTACCATAATTATGACGAGTGTATCAAGGCTCAAGGGTTACAAATTTACAATCCTCCTCGTTAAGTGTGCGGTAGGTGCAAGATGTCTCTCAGAGATAGAGTGTCATCATTTTTTTGAATGTACAACCAATAATACATAGCCATTAAATTTACAACCAATATTACTCATGGTTTTAATGATGTCCGGTTATTGGTGGAAGACAAGAAAAACTACATACATATGTCCCTATTTTCGTAGCCAAAAACTTCACATTTGGACAGTTTTAATTGTGATGGTTTTTATCAGAGTTATTAATGGTTATAATAAATTATCATTTTGATAAATTTATTACTCAATTCAATCTCTTATAATCTACTGAACAAAAAATGGTGACGCGGAGAACTTATATTCCGTATATACATACTCCTTAGTATTGTTTGGATGTTTATTACAATCATTCTCTTCGAATCTAATGTGCATTTGCCAATTTACAATCATATAAAGGGTCTCCGACTGCTACAAATTTGGAAGAAGGTGCACCGGCGGATGTAGTAATCTTTGATCTGAACACGATCAAACTTATCACTAACAACTTTTCTGCCGAAAGTAAACTTGGAGAAGGAGGGTTTGGTTCAGTTCACAAGGTTAAAACTTCCCCTTCGTTTCTATCATAATTTAGTTCTCTTCTTCTTGTAGTGAATACTTTGCTGTTTAATCACATAACTTAGCTTAGTCTTACAAGCAAGGGCGGAGGGGTCAGGGGGTCGGCTGACCTCCAGAAAGTTTGAGAGTATAAAGCACTGAAATACCTTCAATTTTATATATTATGACTCTGTAACTTCTTAAATTACGAGTAAAAAGTTATGACTTCTTGAAAATCGAACTACCTAAACATAAAATGAGTGATAAGAAATCTTGATATTAAGTCGGGTGTGAGGGTAAGGCACGAGGTCTCATTCAAGGAAGCAATCGTTACGGAAACCCTTCGATCGACTAATCCCGAAAAAACAAGTTTATAATATTTATGACATGTATATCAAATATATATCTTTGTTAGTCTCATTTAAACAAACTTTCAATTCGGGTATTGTTTAAAAATGATCCACCGTTTTGATTATGTATATAGTCGAGTTTTGACCCCCCTGATAGTTTTTTGGCTTCGCCAGTGCTTACAAGTCCATTAAATTTAGTTATCTTGCATGCGTTTACAGGGTAAGTTACAAAATGGGAGACTTGTAGCCGTCAAAAGACTCAAAACAAATTCAGATCAAGGGGTAGAAGAATTCAAAAATGAAGTTATGCTGATTGCAAAACTGCAACATAGAAATCTTGTGAGGCTTTTAGGATGTTGTGTTCAGGAAGGAGAGAAGATGTTGGTGTATGAGTACTTGCCCAACAATTCCCTCGACTACATTATCTTTGGTAAGATTGATTTATACAAAAAATGCTAGCTTATCATCATTTGTATGAAATAGTGTTGGTTATATAGTTCAATTTCAGAAAATATGCTCTATTATATTTCAATCCTGTTTAGGGGATTATCTCTTATTTAGTTGATCGTGATAAATACCTTTAGTTATTACTCAGTGTTCGTACATGCATGCAGATAATAAGTCGACAGTGCCACTAGATTGGAAAAAACGTTTTGAAATCACATTGGGAATCGCACAAGGATTATTATACCTTCATCAAGATTCAAGGTTAAGAATTATTCATAGAGATTTAAAAGCAAGCAATGTTCTTCTGGATGACTCCATGGAACCAAAAATATCTGATTTTGGAATGGCTAGAATTTTTGGAGAAGAACAAACAGAAGCGAACACCAACCAAGTAGTTGGAACATAGTAAGTGTATATTGTCCATCCCCATGATTGTTTATGAATATTTTAAATAAATTAAATGTAATGATTTCACAGCGGTTATATGTCACCGGAGTATGCCATGGAAGGTCTCTTTTCAATTAAATCTGATGTATTCAGCTTCGGTGTTTTGATGCTCGAAATTGTGTGCGGAAAGAAAAATAAATATCAACACACGGAGAACTCAGTGAATTTAATGGGAGATGTAAGTTCAAATATATGTTACTACGTATATTGTTTTCAAAAATATACGAAATAGGATTGCATTGTTCAATATGTTACATATTTTCAGGTATGGGATTTTTGGAACGAAGAAAAACCATTGGGCTTAGTGGATCCTTCACTTGGGGGGGAGTCGTACAATATTCGAGAAGTTTTGAGATGCATCCACGTTGGATTGTTGTGCGTTCAACCATTACCAAATGATAGACCAAATATCTCAGAAGTGATATTTATGTTGAGTAATGAAACAGAACTCCTCAATCCTAATCCACCAGGATTTATGGTTAGAAAAGGATATAGCACTACCCCATCCTCATACATTGAAAGTGGTGGATATCAATCTATCAGTATGACGGTTACTCAAATGGAAGGTCGTTGAATTTCATTAGACGTAACTTTATCTATCAATATTTGAATGGTGAAAACTCCGGTACCTTTCTAAAAAATGGGGTACCGTACCTATCATTCATTTGATTGGACCACATCACTTTATCATTTTTAATTTAGATTTAAATAATTCAACTGCAACATTCTGATTGGTCTATATGGACAAAGGTATGGTACCTTATGGGTACCATAGAATCTACCTATTTGAATTAGAATGTGATTGTGAAGTGAAATTCCAAGATATTTCTGAAGCATATGTGATGCCTTCAACATTTATCTAGTGTTATAGTCTATGTTTACCTCTTAATGATTTTGTACGTTCACTGTGTATCTATGTTGTAAAAACCGGATCGGAAAGTGACCCGGATGAATGATCGGGTCACAGGTCAACCCGGACCCAGTGATATGCACTAATTAGTAGTGCATAAATGTATGTTTTTTATTTGATTTGTGTGAATTTTCTACCTTTATTGTGAGTTTTGCAAATACTTGTGTGATTTCAGTTGTAATTGTATTTTGGCTTTCACTTGTAAGTTGTAAAGTAGTGGTAGAATTGTTGGTTTTGGAAAAGAGTAAACATCTGAAATATGCTGCCTATGAGCACTTATCCGGCCGGGTAAAGACCTTCACCTGGTCGGGTAAGAGTTGAAATCTGAAGCTACAAGGAAATTACACTACCCGGTCGGGTAGGCTACTTCACCCGGTCGGGTGAGAAGTGACCCGGGACAACCAAACGTGCTGAAACACAAGAACATGGTGAATCGATCCGAAGTTGATCGGTACGCGGTCGGGTGAGCACTATACCCTGTCGGGTACCCAGTCAAAGGTGTTGAAAAACACTTATAAATAGCACACATACTTAAGTTCAACTTAGAATAATATTTTCTTTATATTTTTCTAGCATTGTTTAGTCTCCAAATGAGGAGCTAAACTTACATTTCTTGGTTTTTCTCTTCAAGCTTGTTGAATGTTAAAGTTGTGTGTTATTTTCTTACTTCTTCCCTTGAATATTAATTCTTCCCTTATTCTATCTCTATATTAATTTTGGGGAGTGTTGATAAAATGACAATTAGTTAACATCTTGATATTTATTACTACTAGAAACGATAAAAAAATTATATTAATATATTAATATAAAATTAATATATTAATTTTATTGGACGTCTCATTCTACTAAAAATTCTCTCTAAAAATAAAAATATATTAATATATATATTTTTGGAAGAAAACATATATTAATATATCTAAAAAATTAAAATATTTATTATTTACGATGATAACATAATAATAGTAGTCCATCTGACCCATTCTAAGCTTCCCACTTTGCTTTTATGGACGTCTCATACAAAGGTTCTCATTTATATTTTAGAAAACAAATAACACTCTTCAATGACAATTTGATCATCAAATATTGAAAAAAATACATCTATAACATCATAGTTATCATCGATAACCCCATTATATTATATACCCATCAAAATTATTTCTCAAAATATACTCAAATTATCCTATTTAATTATTGTTTAAATAACGGTGCCATTTTATAATAGGAACCTTTAAGCGAGAAGAATGTAGTAATATCTAGTCAGCAAATTTCTACATTAAAAAATGTTACTTCGTATATGATATTTGTTTTAGCTTAAAAATATTTGAATATTTCAATACAGTATTGAAAAAAAACTTAAGCATTTTTAATATTTAATATTCAAATATATATTCACACATTCATCATATTCTAAAATGAAGTTTTATGCCACTTTGAACCAATAAAATTATTTGATTTTTATTTTGCACATCTATAAAATATTTACATTTGATTTTCTTTCTATAGCAAATATTTAAATATATAAAAGTATTTTTTTCAAAACTAAATTGAAAGACTACATTTGTTATATATTGGTAAGAGTATTTTATAAACATTTTAACTTATGTCATATACCGTTTAGAATGCCACACACACACATATATATATATATATATATGAATGGCATGCGTATACATAATCGGACAGTACAATAATAGAAACAATATGCATTATTATTGATAGAGTATATGGGTCTGGACCTCACGGCCCACACACTCATAGAAGGTAGACAAACGTCACAAGACACTGGATCACCCCTCGGCTGGTTGCCGCGGTCCGACATGCCTGCTTTCACGGATGAAGCCCAGATACCAGAGGTCAGAGAAATGGAACAAGAATAATGGTCATCTTAGCCTGACCTCCCTCGGTCAAAGAGTAGTCCGAAACACGGTTAAAAAGTTTTTGGTACGGAGAAAGGTCATTTAAGGTAGGGGAGGGTAATCTGTTAATAATATAGGCAGGAGTAAAAATGGCATCAACCCAATATGAACTCGGAACCGAAGCTTAAAGAAGCATGGTTCGAGTTAACTCAAGTAGATGACGATGCTTGCGCTCAGCAACCCCATTTTGTAGAGTTGTGTCAGGGCAAGATTTTTGAAAATAAATACCATTAGTTGTAAAGAATTGCTGCATATTATGATTAACAAATTCACCTCCCCCGTCACTTTGAAAAATTTTAATTTTCTGATGATAGAGTATATAGACTCGGACCCCCGGGTCTCACGACTATTGGACCCAGACAGCGGCCCACGTACACTCAGCTGATAGCATTTTCATTATTGTACATTATTATTATTATTCAGGTGTTCTAGATTAGCCTTTTATATTATCAGTCCATTTATGTAACCGGGTCTGTCAGGCCCATATTAGAGGCCCAGACCCGGATATTCTTCTATATATACTCCCTTAGGGAGTTCTTGTAAACCTAATTTCACAACTCATAATTCATACACAATATCATTTCTACTATTCATCTTCTCCAATTATCTAGCTCAATCTCTCCATTTTATTATACTTTGGATACCCTATAATCCATCAATGGTGCTCTCGTTGAGAGATTAGAGCAAAATCAAGTGAGAAATCCTCCCAAAAACATCAAAAAATTCATCCAATTACTAAGAAATCAGTAAAAAAACGGATCTAAAAATGTCAAGAACAGCAAAAAGAAAGATCCAGAAAGAAAAGGCCCCTGCCGCAACCGTAAGCCAAGCCCTCACGGTAGAAACTTGCCGACCCGTTAACAGATCTCACTGGCCGCAGTTTGGTGAAGCTTGCCGCTGCTCCAGTAGGCTTAGATCTTGAAGTCTCCTGGTCAGAGCTATCATCGCAGCCCTCAATGCTGCCCTGCGAAGAATCGCCTGCGGCTACCCCAGATCTTGCCACCAACGTTGAAGCATCGCCGTTCAGATCTCGTGCTCGCCGTTCCAGTTGTAGTCTCTCTGGACCTCGCCGCAACTGCTCCAGGTCATAACCGACGCCTTGGCACACCCCACCTTACCAGAGCAGCTGGATGGGTTCGTTCCGGTGACCGGACAAAGGGCCCTTCTCCGGCGACAGTCAGGACGAAGACCATGATGTTTCCAGGCCAACAACTGTCAATCCGAGGAGGACAACGGAGTCTTACTGCGGAAATGCCCTTCGTCCCTCAATCCACCGGCAGCAGTGACCGAGGTATCTCCTCGTCTCCCCAGGCCGTGACTTGCGTATGTCCTTTGCAGAAGTTGCAGAAGGATGGGGTATTTGGGTGTATGAGCTTGAGTTGACTCAGTCAACTTTTATTGTGCTTGGGAGTTCTCAGCCAGGTGGGAAGCAATGGGCCAGACCATATGTGTTTCTGTAATACCCCGAAAATTTGAGAGAATTTGGGAAATAATTAAAATTGTGTTTCATATTGTTTACACGGTCTTTAGGTCGTTATTATGTTTGGTTTAGTGTTTGGGACAAAGGGGATGTCCAAATGGGGAAGAAACGGGGCAAAAACTGAGGTTTGGAGCGTCTGGGGGTCACGCACGGCGTGCGTGGAAGGTACGCACACGTGCGTTTCTGTTGTATCCTAATGCAACTCAAACTTCGGAAATTCACTATAAATACATCCCTAATCCGATTTTCCTCATTCCAAAAACCCTAGGACCGCCTCTTCAAGCTCTATCCCTTTCAGCTCTTCAATATTAACGTATCCAGCACAAAATTTTATGCCAATGATGAGATCAAACAATCCAATATTCTGGTAAGTGCGTTTGTTGCCTAATTCGCGTCGTTCATCCGTTTCCTAAATTTCTTTCTTCTAAATTGAGATCCTTCGAACCTATCACTTCCTAGGTACGTGCTAATGATCCATCAAACTAGGTTTAACTTTTAGGATTCGTTTCTAGCCTCGAGGTAAGGACTATTGCAACCAAAATTACTATTTTGCCCCTATATTGTATAAACTAGGGTTTGTGCTATGATTTGAGTTTCTTTCTGAAATTTTATGGATAATTCGGCTATAATAGTATGAGTATGATGATGTATGCTTTTTTGGGAATTTATGAACGTGTGATTTTTGGTGAATTTATCAAATCAGTTTATCATGGCTAAAATTGTGATTTTTGATGATTGTTCTTTTGGGATTGGAAAATTTTGGTGATTGTTTTGGTATGAGTTGAAGAATGATTTGAGACTATTATAACTGGTTATATTGAAAATATATTATGGGTTCAGAATACTTCAATTTGATTATTTTGGTGGTAGTAGTAAATGCTACTTTTGGGAAGTGGTTGTTTGGGTTAAACCCTCTTTTTGGAAAGTGTTGTGAGATCAAATCTTTTGGGATAAATTATATATTTTTAAATGTATAATTTTGTATGAAAATTTACATATATATTCTGGAGTTATAAATATCCTTATTGGATTATTTTGAATATGATATTAAATACTATTTTGGAACTAGTTTTGGATAAACCCTAAATTGTAAGTTTCTCTGTGATAAGTACATATTACAACACGCATTTGATGCGTGTTGGGGTTGCATTTTGATAGTTTTCCTAGCTTTAAGGTGTTGCAAGTCTCAATTTTAACTCAAGTTATGTTTACCGGGCGTTGGTTCGAGTTTTGTGTCATTTGGAGTCAAAATCAGGATTTTAGACACCAACACCGGCGCTTGAGAAGCAATCGGGACGAGTTGAGAAACATTAGAGATTGATTTGAGAACTTTGGAGGTCACCGGGAGGTCTACGATGAAGAGTTGAAGACAAAAGAGCTCTAGGATTGGCTACGGGATCAAAAGAAGACAAATAGAGCTTGAAAATGGCGATCAGGATGACCTTCTGTTAATCATTCAAGCATATCTCCTTGTAGAGACATCCAATGTACACGTTTCAAGTTCCATATGAAAGCCAACTTCAAGGGCTACAAATCATGCGAAGACACCTTTACTAGAATCTGATAGGAAGAATGTGAAAACAGACGACGAAGTCAGATGATCTCTGTTGCGATTTCAGAATGAGACATTCCACCATTTTATTCATATCTCTTGATTGGATGATTCAAATCCAATTCGGAAAATTGAGGTAGATAGAGGACTTCATTATCTACAACTTTCGTGAAGGAAGTAAAGTCAAATCGGACGTTTTACCCAAGCCGTGCGTGCCCCGTTTGTGTTTCCTAATTTAAGTGTGAATTTCCTTGTTTCCTAATTCAACCCGAATTGCTTTGATTCCTATAAATAACACCTCTCTAACCCTAATTAAAGGGGAAGTTTAGAGAAAGATTAAGGACGAGATTAGAGAGCTTTTTCAGCCAGGTTTATCAATTCCTTAACATTCTTTGTAAATTCCTACTTTTTTATTAATGACAATTAATTCTATCCATCCCAATTCTATTGATTCTTCAATTATGAATAGGGGGTAGTTTTAATTAGGGATTTGGGGTTGATGAAGGGGTTAATAATGATGTATGGCTAGATTCTTGATGGTTTAATTGCATGAATGCCGTTTAATTTGTGTTTGAATAATTTAATTGATATCTTTTGTAACCTAGAATGGCCACTAGATTTACAATTGCTTATAGAATAAATTAAGAGAGATCTAATTTGTTCTAGGACACATTCACACACACTTAATCGTTCGCTAAGAGATTAGTAGCGATTAAGGGGCCGTAAGCTCGTGTGTCTTGGCAATAATTTAGGA